ACAAGTAAGTYAGATCATTGGAGGTGGTGTATGTGAAACTCCTTGGCTTCCTCCCCTGCATAATCATGGTCCCAAAGACAAAGCACAACTGGAGAAGATGTTGAAGAAGTCCCCCCACTCCCAGTCTTCTGGTTACACCAGAGAGGGAGACTCCTCACAGATAMGCAAAGCACTGGGCTGGAGTTTATTCCTCTCCCACTGTTCTTATTTCTTCTGCTTGGACTAGTGTGAAATAAGGGCACAGAGGATTTTTAATGTTTGTTGATTATCCACTATGTGTAAGTCTGGTAGAGGCAATAGGTAATATCATCTTGATTTTATACAGGAGGAATTTGAAATTTGAGATTAAATCAATTGCCTGAAGACAGCTAAAAATTAGTAGACTCAGGACTGAGCAAAGCTGTCCATCTTCAGTGCCCTTGGCCTTCCCATGACATAAGCATGAATAATACAGATTGCTCTCATATATCTTTCATGTTCTCATCTTTGGCAAGGAATATTAGAAGTTGAGAACTTCTATGGATGAAGGTGTGTCTCCTCCTTCTATGGATGTGTGTCTTCCTATGCTGAAACCTAATCCCAAACGACGGTTTTGTTGCTGGTGGCAGAGGACTGGGGGCATGATGAGGCTATGAGGCAGGAGCCTTTAWGAATGGTGAATGGGATAAGCGGTTCCAGAGATTCCCCTACCCCTCTGCCAAGTGAGGTTATAGCAAGAAGACAGGAAGTGAACCAGGAAGCAGGCCTTTGCTAGACACTAACACCTTGATCTTGGAATTTCCAGCCTCCAGAACTCTGAGAAGTAAATATTTGTTATTTACAAGTCATCCGTCTATGCTGGGTGCTTTTTTGTTTGTTTYTAAATAGCAGCCTAAATGGACTGAGGCAAAAATTCAAACGACTAAGGATCATCTTAGTAAGAAATGCTTGGTTGATTAGGTAGAAAGGCTAGCATAGTGCAAATCAGGAGACTACCGAAGGACCTCTCTCCCTCCTACTAAGTGATAGACAGAGGGAAGGAAGATTTCTGATTTACTACAAGGTATTCTAAATAGCAGACGACTTTCTGTGGAAGCAGATGCCGTCACCATGTAGACAGAGGCAAAGGAGGAGGAGGTGCCAGCAGAACTGAATTTCTTTCCTCTGATGCCAGAGAAAATATTCAAGTAGGACTGGGATTGTTGGTGATCGACTGGGTCATTTTCTCCTCCAGGTCCTCAAGGTCCTACTTTATACAAAATGCACATTGAGTTTTCGTTATTGTAACAAATACCTGAAATAATAACTTATAAAGAGAAAACCATTATTTGGGCGTATAGTATTGCAGTTTTCAGTTGAAGACTGGCTGGCCCTGTTGCTTTTGGCCTATGGCAAGAAGGCACATCATGGCAGAAGTGTGTGGTAGAGCAAAGCCATTTGCCTCATGATAGGAAGTGAAAGAAAAAGGAAGCTATTGGGCAAGGGTCCCACTYTCCCAAAGATTGGAAGTGCTCTCACTAGGCCTCACCTCTAGCAGGTTCYACCACCTCCGATAGTGCCAATCTGGAACCAAGCTTTTAACACACATCTTCTGGGAACAGTCCAGATCTAGGGTGGAGACTCTGGCATGGCTTTTTTCCAGGATGGTTGTTGGTTCACACCCCCATCTGCCCCCAGCCCCTCCTGATCTCCTCCTGAGCTTACTGTGCCATGGAGCTCCTCTAAGGAGCAGCTCTTCCCTCCCCAGCTGCCTTTTGTGCACAGGCTGTCTCCATCTTCTCCGATTTGTTTTTTCCATCCATCAATCTCACAGCCGCCTTTTATTTCAGAAATTACTCAACATTTTTGTTCTTGCACTGTCTTGCTTTGACAGCTGTCACAGATTTCTTGAAGTTTAGTGAAATTTGGGAAGGACAGACAAAAGTGAGCACTCTACCATCTCAAGACTCATGACCTTTGATTTGCAAGTGACCCCTGCTCCCATTTTACTGAAGTTGACCTGATGAGATGCCCCCACYCCCTGCAACATGGCTGCAATGCCTGCCAAGTGGCTAGACCTCTTCCATTTTATTTCCTGTCCCCATGACAAGAGTTTTGCATGAGATTTTTTATTTGCCAAATGTGTCCTTGTAATATACTCCTATCAAGTAAAACAGTAGTACTCCCATGCACGTAACAAATTAAACTGGTAAATTCTTTTCCCCCAAATTTATAGCTAAGTGCTGAAGAGTTAACAGAAAATCTCATAAATAGGGAGCCTATTGCTTTCTTCCAGACAGCCCAGGGGTGCAGTGCTGGTGTGGCATTATGAGCTGGGCACATCTGTAGAGGTGCCAAGGAGTTTCTGAAGAAGGCCTGAGGCTGGACCACTTCCCAGCTGAGGCGAAATGTTTAAGAAATCTCTCAGATGATGAAGACACCTGGSTTCTGCTGCAGATAACACCTCAGAGGAGCTTCAGGGGAAAGTATGTCTGGATTAGTGGCCAGATCTGAACTATGGGTAGAAGGCTGGGCCCAGCACAAATCACCCAGGACAGCACTGGAGTGGAGTCTGGCATGGGAAGTTTGGAGGAGACACACATCCATCCATCCATAGAAAAGCCGCCAACTTGGAGACATACCGGTACTCTAAGGGCTGAGTGAGACCTCAGGGTCCCATGGGACATTGGGCCTGAGAGGAATATAATACTTTCCTGCTAATATGGGTGGCTAGGAACTCAGGCAGTGCTATTGGATCTGCATTGTCCCCTAAAGGATGGCACRTTGAAGGATTGGTCCCCAGCCCATGACATTATTGGGACATGGTGGAACCTTTAGGAGGTGGGGCCTAGTTGAAGGAACTTAGGTCACTGGCTATATGCCCTTAAGGGAATTTTAAGACTTCGGCTCCTTTTTCTTTTTTGATTCCCAGCTACCTTGAGGTGAACAGACCTCTTCTGTCACATGCTCCTGCCATAATGTACTGTGCCACCACAGGCCCAAAGCAACAAGACCAAGTGACTATAAAATGAATCCTTAGAAACTGTGAGGCAAAATAAATCTTTGCTTTGTTAAAGTTGATTGTCTCAGGTATTTTGTCACAGTGACAGTTGAGTAACTAAGGCAGTGTTTGGAAAAAGCAGACTGGTATTTTCTCCAGGACTAATGAAAAGGGAGAGGTGAAACTCAGCCATTGAGGACTAATTTTTAAGCTCAAATTGGGACTATTTCCTTATTCTAAGGTCAAAATGATTATCATGCTTTAAAATACAGAGAAAGCACATTAGTTGTTAAAAATGATTTTTAATCATAAATATTGCTATAGAATCTAGGTAGTAAGCTTAGGGTTCTTCAGTATACTTTCTTTTTCTAGTTTTTCTGTATGTTTTAAAATTTTCATGGCAAAATGTCTAGAAGTGGGAAAATACATTTTATTTTGAGGAACCCCTGGTGCCACCGTCAGGCTTCTCAGACTAAGCCCACATGCTCTGGGGCTAACATGTTTCGTTTAGACATTCTTTTTCGTTTTTTGAGAATGAGGTCTCAATATGTTGCTGAGCCTGAGCTCGAACTCCTGGGCTCAATCGATCCTCTTGCCTCAGTTTACTGAGTTGAATGCTGCTGTGCCTAGTTATGTTTGTGTATTTTTGGGGGTGGGGGTGGGGGTGAATACTAAGGATTTAATCCAGGGGTGTTTAACCACTCAGTCATATCCCCAGCTCTTTTTTTTTTTTTTTTTAAATTTTAAAAGTTAAGTTACTTGGGCCTTGGTGAGTTGCTGAGGCTGGTCTTGAACTTGCAGTCTTCCTTCTTCAGCCTCCCAAGTGGCTGGGATTATAGGCATGTGTCACTGAGTCCAGCACCTGTATAGTCTTAAGGTCATTTTATATCCATACATTACKTTTGGGCTGCCCCTATATCCCAAGTTAGATTTATCATGAAATGGGTCATTTTACATCACCCTTTAAAGATAAATACACCAGTATAATAATATAAGGAAAAACTATGGAGACCTTTAAAATTGCTATATGGTGCCATTGCAGCTTAACTATACAAGTTATATCCTTAGGTAGTATCTATGAGAGAAGTACAATTTTTAACCATGTAGAGTGGAATTTTAAAGTAAAGGCAGACCTACCTAAGAAGAATATATTCCTTGATAATAATACCTAATTTCYGGTTCTTCCTTTAATAGGCGCATCATCCACCCTCACCCCTACCACACATGGCTGAACTCATGACCCGCCACACATCCTTTCTCATTAGAAACTTCATTTCTACACTCTTTCCTACTCCCCAGCAAAAGAATCACAGTACATGCCCAAATTTATTTTTTATTGTGCATACATAGGAAATAGGACCCTATCAAAAGAGAACAACAACAAAAAAAGATGTGAGCCAAGTGTTGCAGAGGAAAAGCATGCACAGGTCTGCCTAAAGTTTACTCCTAACCACCCACTCTACAGGACTTCAACGCACCAGGAGCTGGAATCAGTCTAAGAAGTGGTCACCAACCACCAGCAGCACAAAGGAAATGAGGGTGGCCAGGAAATGTCAGCAGAAGTGGAACTTCCATGGACAGTGTCAGTGCTCAATGCACAGGAGTCTAACCCAAGTTCAATGGGAAACAAATCTTACATGAACATGGGAATATAAAATTGTTGAGCCCTACCAGTTGTTGAAAAAGATAAACAAAATTTAGTTGTGGGCACTGGGTGCCTCACTCAGCTGCACTCTGATCCAATTCCAGGGACAGTGCTGAGTGCTTTTTTATTTTTTAAAAAAAAGTAATGGGAGAAATTGAAAATGTAAAACAAATGACCTGGAGGAAGAGGAATTGTTTGGACCCATGTAGTTGTCTCAGTTGTAAACAGCAGACATTGTGCTTTGTTGCTTCACTGAAATCGAGGACTGGAGCATGGGGAGGTAYTGCAGTCAAGGACAGGAGGTCAGAGGTCACACAGGGTGGCAAGGGTCAAAGACACAGGCAGCATCATCTGTGTCCATAGATTGGTCCCCAGGGTGTTGGTTTTGGTCCCGGGCACTTCCCGTGGAATTCCCTGGAGGTCCCCACATTCTCTGTCYTTAGAGTAAGTCCGCACAGTTACTTGAGCCCCACTGCTTTTCCTCACCCTTCATCTCACATAAATACCCCAGCAGAGCAAAGACACTGTGCTTCTTGATCTGGGGGAATGAAAACCATCCCACATCTGCTCCTGAGAGACATCTTGATGCACAAAGTTCAATGAGTAGCAATTTCTTAAGAGGCTTTGACTAGGTCAATTAAAAAATAAGCAACACCCCCCACCAGCCCCACTCCCCATGATACTACACACAGAGTAATCTAGGTATCTTTGCTACGCTGCTTTGCTCTTAGTACACACGACACGGGCAGGTCTCAATCTGGGTTTAAATACATGTCAACACTGCTAACTACCGCAGAGGAACAGAACTCCCTGCTATCTGTCAACAAAACCTGCAACTACTATAAGACCCTGGGGCAAGATAGGATTCTCCTCTGGGGATTTGCATTTCTAACATCTTCTTTATTCTATTTTTGATCACATGGTCAGTAAATGAAATCAGTACTTTTTCCATCTTTCTCAGTAAGCTCCCTATCTTCAGAGCCCAGCACACTACTGCTCAGATCAGACACAACTGCCTCCCTCTCTGGTTCAACAAGGCTGGCTGTGCCTTGCTGGGCATGTTGGCTGTTTTTTCTCCCTCTGAAGGTTGATGTGATTTCCCAGCCAGATGTGTCCTTCTGCTTTGAAAGTGCCCATCAAATCCACCCACAGCTGCCTTGGGGAAGGATGCAAGAGCCCTCTGGGCACTGGCATCCAGGGAGGACACACTCCCTATCTGATCTCAAAGGACAGGACACTACACATGTACTTCCAAGAATGCACTAAAAACGGGGATATATTTTTCTCCCCAAGTCAGAACAAGGGCTTATAAAATGAAATGTCCCAGTTTGGAGTAGGGATCAATTTCCCATAAATTTAAATAACTTTATTGATCTTCAGATAACCGCAGACATCCAACGTGAGCCTGATTCAGATCCATCTGGAGGTGGAAGCGGCAGCACTCGGCTGTTCCTTGTTTAGGCAGAAGGAAGCCTATCTTCAGGATGTGAGAGATTAAAAAAAAGTGTCAAGAGTCTTTTCCCCCTTGCATATTTCTCCAACAGCTTCTGGAAGAGGAAAAATGGGCTTTGATGGCTGGCAGCCACCCTGCCCAACCTCATCTGGCTTCATGGGCTGTGCTGCCTGCTGCCTGCAGGGCTCGCCTGGGCTGGCTCCTCCATCGGTCCCTCTCACAGGCTGGCTCTGCCTTCCTCTTCCTTTTAGTCTCTCCTGAAGATCTGGCCACACCACCCAAGAATGTTAACCCTTGGGGTTGTTGCCACACTGCTAGAGAGCACAGATTACATTAGAAACAGAAGCAACAGAGGAGACACAGTGTGAATTCAAATATTGTCCTCCACGGAAAACTTGAAAGGGAGCTGTGCTTGCTTTGAAGATATCAAAGAGGAGTTTGCCCTTGGACCGTCCCTGGAAGTGAACTTCAATGGGGATGGGAACATCCATGGGGATGGGAAGGGCCTGGTGAAGAGCCCCGTCCCACCTCTCCACCTCCAACGAGCATTCTCTTGCTACTTGTCCTTCACCACCTGTTCATAGGGGGGTGGGGGTGTGTTGCAGTAGGAAGGAGGGGGTGGGTAGGCTGTGCCTCCCTGGGGTGAATTGGGTTGGACCTGGAAAGCCATTGCCATGGTATTCCCGACAGGATTCACTCCTAGTCCTCCAGGGTCGGTGTAATATGGCGGCCCCGGCTGCTGGGCTCCTGAAAGACAGACAATCATATGTGAGCACAAAAGAGAAAATTCTTGGCTAGGGGTATAGCTCAATATCATTTACTCAACTGACGTACATCTAGTACTCTATATGCTCAGAGAGAGGGGGCATCTGGTATATGGTAATAAACAAGAGCAACACATGGGGCCCCCTCCTCATGGGCCTCAACTCCACTGGAGGGGGACATTGACAAGTGACACATAAACTGTGACAGCATGGGTAAGTTATAAGGAAGCATGACGGAAGGAGGCGATATTGGTGGAGGCTCAGGTTTCTCTAACAGGAAACTAAATGCTGATCTGCGAAGAGCTAGTGAAGCATGTGCTAAAAGATCAGGAATTGAGAGGGCTGTTGTACACCTTAGGAGGTAAACGGGTCACAGTAAGGTATAGGACATGTTCCCTCATTGCAAGAAGAACTGGAACATCGGTTTCCCAACTCCTAGCACAGGATTAACACAGGCAGCCCCATCAACCCTGTGAACACACAGTTTGCTAGTGACTATTTCTGATGTAAGATCTCCATTTTTCCCTGCCTCAGTTCGCATTTTATGGGAGCAGGGACTACCTACCTGTTATCTAGAAGAGCCCAAGTTCACAGTCAGGAGAAAACCTACAGGGCACATGCCGATGGCAGCACAGGGGTTGTTGAATCTATGGAATCTCTATTTCCCCTGGATGCTGCCACAGATTTTCTTCTCCAAGCCTGAGGATCTAAAATGCTGGTTGACACCCCAACCTGGGTATGATATATGGCTATCTAGAGAAGGTAAGAGCAGCAAATAGGCTGGTCACCCTGCCCCAAACTGGCCCTAACTCAGAGAGCTGGTTTTAGTGTTGATTACTTTGATCATGTGGATAAAAATATAGATATAATTACAGAATTAAGAAATGAAAATAAAAWTTTGTGGGTGCAGTCTGGTCTCTTTGAATGAGCCTTTACTTAAGTAAAGGGAGATTTCCAAGTATCAGAGAAGCTGTCCCTGTGTAAATATTGTGTAGGTTTTTTTTTTAAAGGGCAAATATCCCTCTGATCATTTAATTGAATAAAAGAGATTTCTACAAAGATGCCCATCAAAGTATGTAAGATGTCCCAAACCTCCCAAGCTGGAATTCTGTAGATCTTAGACTTCTACAAATGTGCTGAAATAGAGAATGTGGAACAGAAACACAGGCCAAACATGTATCTAGGGTGTCATCAAGAATGGCAGGCAACCAGAGGCCACCTTTATCAAGGACTGCCTCATCCTGCACTGGTATGACCCYACGGATGGCACATGCTCCCACTGGTATATCTCATCAGCTGCCTTTGGATGTGTTACTAGCCATGACCATGAGTTTCTCAAGGGCAGAGATTATAATTTATTTATATCTGGATACTTTTATATGTTGTATCATTAAAAAGTTAATGATTTGAAAAAAAGAGGCCATTGTAATACTTTGGACAAGCCAGTTCARATGTAGACCTTTGAATACTTTTCAGAAGAAATAGAGAAGAGAGGGCAAGAAAGATAATGGGAAGAGCTAACCAAGGACTTAACCTGGGGCTAACTCAATGTGGAAAGCCAGGATGGAGACATGATCTAAAAAGAAAGGGCCTTGATTTCTGGCCTCAAAGAGGCAGTTCACCAATACAYGAGAAGGGCAGGACAGACAAAAAATTCCACACTGGTTCTGTCAAGGTCAAGGCAGCACCGGAGCTTTTGGTATAAATGTGCAAACAAAAACACGGGTATGGATTAAAAGCACTACAGAAGTGTGTAGGAGGGATAAAAGATGACAGCTGAGGTGAAAGTTGTGGGAAAGATTAACATTCAAGACAGGAAAAGAACATAAAATATTTAAGGTTCATGAGAAGGATGTAAAAGCAACCGAGAAGAAATGGTAAAAAGTAGGAAACTAGGCATTGTGTCATGRAAGCACAAGGAAAGGGGAATTTTTAAGATAGAAATGACAGTAGAAGAAAAGCAATTTCAGGGTTAAGGGGTTATGAGTAGATAAGATAGGTGGTAGTTAAACAAGGAAGATGCATTGTTAGGATGGGAAATCTGTGAGTATGTWTACAGGGTGTAGGGCAGATATATAGGAGAGACAAAAAGCATTTTGGGGAAGAATATAAGCTCATGAGTGCAGCATTGGAATCCATCTGCACAAAGCTCTTGGACCCCATTGCTGAGCCCCAGACCCTGCTGTACTGGAAGATGCTGAATACATTTCAAATGGGTAGAGAATCTGCATAGGGTATGGTCTGAAGAAGAACAGGTTGAGCCCAGGAGAGCCCACAGTGTGCAGGAGGAAGAACAATGTACTCAGAGCAGMCAGCCTCTATCTGGAGTGGAAGCAGGAGCCAGATTATTCATTTGTTGACCATGAGAGGGCAAAGAACAAACAGATTTGTGCAGTCCTCAGAGAAGAAGGGAGGAGTACATAATGGTCACAAATGTTTACAAAAAAAAAAAAAAAAGTGATCAGGAGCAACAGCCAACAGGAATGAGATTCCACAWGAAAGGGACATTCTACATGGGGGTGATACATACCCAGGAGCCAAGGGACACCACCATCTTCCCTATAGGTCACATATTCTGAGAAAAGAATTAGCACTTCAGTTTTTAAAGTCTGTGGCAGATAGTTTGGTTATAGAAAATATATAGAGCATTGTGTGAAGAAGTTGGAGTTACAGAAGACTGTTTCTCTGGGAGACAAAGGGGAAAGGATTGGGAAAGGCGTGTGAGCCAAGGGCAGAGCATGCTGCCCCCAAACTGTTCCTCACAGAGTAAGTGTCCATAACCTTAACCTGTTTTGCATTAGTACTGCAGGGACAGGATACAGATTGTGGGAGATGATGGGGGTGAGGCTTAGTGACAYCCAAGGTCACACACACCAGTATTGGAATCCAGCAGTGGATGAAACCAGATTCTTCCACTGTCAAATGGATTTCTCATAAAAGGAGGGTGAAGTGGGAGAAGTGGCCCAGGCCAGAGAGGGAGAGAGGGGTGAAGAACCAGAGTAGACTGCAGACCATTCAAGGATTAGGGCTGACTGTGGACTGTGTGGCCCGGGCCCATAATGTCCCCAGAAGATGCTCAAGTTGTATTTTTTTTTTTCTTCAGTGCTGTCATCTGTTTCCTCATTTTGAGATTTGCATGATTTGGGAGGGAACTCCAGGTTCACAAGGACTGATAAGAATATGTTAAGGAAGTTAATGGACAATGGCCTTCCTAAGTGGGACTCTTCCACCACTGGCCTTGCCAAAGGGACAGCCAGGCAACCCTCCTTCCTGGAAATGACTGCTACTTTTGACCACAGCTGACTGCCCAGACACCAGGGAAGAGAAAGTGGGTTAATCTGCTCCCAGGATGTGAAGAATCTGAATGGCAGCAGAGGAATGGATGAAAACAGGAAGAGGAAGAGGCAGCCTGAGAGGGCATGGGGCATGTGAGCGAGGGAGAGGTACCAGCCSGAAGCTGCACCAATTCTCAATGGAGCTCCTATTCCCTTAGGTTTCACCTGTCTTTACAACTAGCCCCGCTCTGAGTTAGTATGTGATTTTTCACTCTTCAAACTGCCCATGTTCTTAGTTTGAATCAGGGTCCACCTCCTGACTTTCTGCATCTGTCTCCTGTTGCCCAGGCTGCACCTGAAGATTGAGGCAGGTACTCAACACATCACAGGAGACACTTGAATGCATCTCTTCCCCCATCACTTGGCCAGCTCATCTTCCTATGCCCAGCCCCATTCTGGGGTGGTGACACCATATTTACCCAGTTACTCATGGGGTTACTTGAGGGATAAAGACCTTCCACAGTCAAGTTCCTGTCCACTTCAGAGTTGAGTCTTACTTTTCATGGTCCTGCTTTAGTCTTTATATCCGAACACTACCCAAATTGCCTGTAGCTTGTTTGCCCTCCAGGTCTCATAGAAAGCACCTCATGAGGGCTCAACATCCAAGCACTCCTCCCTCCTGGAATGCCAGTCCTCCCCTGCACATTCCTTTTCCCCAACTTCCCATCAAGCTATTTCTCATTTACCTTTTAAGTCCCAGCTCGGAATCACCAACTCCAAGAAGCAACCTCGTACTGTCTATGACCCGCTTCTTGGCTGCAGCAGGAACCCAACACATCTGGAACAACCTATTTATGTCATACCACCGCAGTCCAGTATGATCTTCTGAGATTTCAACACATGAGAATAGGACAGGATGTATCCTGGTTCCCTCTGAGCCAGAAGAGCACCTGGCAATGGCAGATGTTCCACAAATATAGAGGATGAATGATTGAAAAAGGGATGAAAGTGATTTGGATTTGGGCTTTGTCTCTGTTGTATTGTGCTGGCCACACTTGGAAGTTCTTGAGACACACTGCTGCTATGACAGGAAGAAACAGCTCCCATCTATACCAAGCCTGTTGCTCCCAAGGACCAGAGGAGTTYGAGGAGTCACCCCATCTCCCCATCATGGATAAGGGTGGGGAAGACCGTGGTCATTGTACCAGAGATGTCGCTTGGACTGTGTCTGTAGTATCCCTGCAGTACAGCCACTCACTCATACTGGAGTCATGACTCATGGATTTTGCAGGAGTGGCAAGATGGGATTAAATATTTGAACATGGAGAAACACTTGGAATACAAAAGAAACAGAACGGATAGGAGGTGGATAAATTATGTATTTGTCAAGAACATGAACCCTTTAGTGAAAAAACTCAGCAACCATAGGGATGCAACATGCTGAAATGCTGGAAAACCTGTGATTGAAGATAGAGGGCAGCAGAGACAGATGCTGTCCCCCTGGGGTGAGCAGCTGAGGGATCCCCAGCCAGAGGTGGGCAATAAGGCAAGAAGATAATCAGCTCAGACAGAGGCAGGGACTCTTCAAGAAGATGTTCATGATCCAGGGATTCAACAGATTTCTTCTCATTTGACTAAAAGTCGAACTCTGGAYAAGACACTGGCCAAGTTTACCATTCAGGTCCCACAGAGAAGATGGACCCAGTTC